ACTACAATACTATGAGAGGCTTAGAGCACTTCTGACTCCAAGCAGCTGGAGATGTACGCAGGTGTTACTAAGCTATTAGTTGGAAGACTGTGGACCTGGCATTACGACAGTACTGCGTGTACAGTACTTTTTTAAGCCCACCATTTGTAATTGATTACATGGGCCATCTGTAACTGTGAATCATATTAGAGTTAGCCCATTGACATTTACAGAACATTTGTCATGTACCAAAATGTTTAGTGTAAAAAAGTTGACATAATAGCTTTGAGGTTTCACTAAATCAACTTTTAAACAGTGGCTATAGGTACAACCCATTGCCGTGTAGTCTCCCAAGAAATATGCTTTATGATGTGATTAACGAAAAGGATACTGCCTCACAACACAGACTAAAAGGTCTTCTGTGACTAGAAAGGTGACTTGGCTGCATCGTTAGCTACTGCAGAACTGCCCTATGGGGGGGAGGGGCAGGGTTCAAAAGTGGCGAGGAAAGAAGAAGTGACAGGGCTGAAAATGAAGTGGGAGCAGCGGGTCGTGACCTGTCGGTGGCTGAAGACTTATCCAAGGGAAAGAAACGCGGAATCTCTATCAAAACCGTGGTTAAGGGACACGTCGGGGCAGACCTGAGGCTCCACTCACTGGACGCGCTCGCGCCACCTGTCAAGACCGGACGAGCCGCCGGGGATCGAAAGGGGGGCGGGGAGGAGGGTGTCCAGGGCCCGGGAAGAAAGCTTCGGACTGGCTGGTCCCTCTTCGGAGACGCTCAGGGGGGTGGAGTTGGAGAAGGAGAGTGCGTTAGACTCCCAAGGAGACTTCACGTGGTCTACGGAACCCTACAAGGGAATCGAGGGTCTCTACCACGCGCCCCTCCCCTAAGCCTCTCAGCTCCTCCTCCAGACACGTGACCGCAGCGAGCTGGCACCCTGGTTCCCGCAGCGTAGCTCGCTCTGTTGCTTCCCTCCCGCCGCTGTGCCCTTCCTCTCTCCGGTTCCCATCCCTCCGCCCTCCCCCACCTCCCTCCCCACGCCCCAATCGCGGCTTGAGTTTGGAAGTGCCCGCCCCTCCGCCCTTTTCTTCGCTTGTTCATTGGCTGAAGTCTCAAGGACGCGTCCGGAGGGCGGTGGCAGCCATTGGTGGGATGAGCAATCCGAGTTCCCGGATGAGGGAACATTCTGCAGTATAAAGGGAGTGGGGAAGGCGGGAGACAGCGCAGTTTGAATCGCGGTGCGACGAAGGAGTAGGTGGTGGGATCTCGCTGTGTCTCTGATTAGCCCTTTCTCTGCCTTGCTTGTTTGAGCTTCAGCTGAATTCGAAATGGTAAACTTCGCAGGGGCGTTCGATGACTCCGCGGGATTTTGCCGGCGGGAGAAAAACCCGTTACACACGGGAATGGGGGTGAAGTGGCGACGGTTGGGAACGCGTAGAGACAGTATTTGGAAGACCGGGGGGCGGGGGGAAGGTGTTTTGTCGGCTGAGAGCGGAGCAACCACAGATCTCGCAGCGGGCGGCGACGGTTGGGTGGCGCGCGCAACGCCGCTGGGGGCCAGCGGGCTGGCGGAGGCGCGCGGCCGCAGCGAGCGCG